ACATTGAGTATTGTTCAAGTGAATGTCAAGTTGCAGATATCTTTACGAAGCCGCTGAAGACAGAGACATTTCTCAAATTGAAGAAGGAAATTGGAATGACCAATATATCCAACTTGGTTTAAAGGAGGCAATGTTATAATAATATTATTATTATAATTATTAAACCAAGCAAGTAATTAATAATTAGTTAATTTGTTGGAAATAATGGGTGTGGGTCATGCATTGTATGTGAAGAGTGGCCTAAATTATAGCATTAGTACATGGAGCATTAGCTTCCTGATTAGTAGCTTTCATTTAGTATAAATATGTGGTTTGTATTCATTTGTTAATTATCCCTTCAAATAACATTATTCATTCCTCTCTCTTCTCTCTCAATATATAAATATAATATATTGATATATTATATTTAATATATATTATAGATATATTATATTATATTTAATATATATTATATTAAATATATTATATTTAATATATCTAACAAGCACCATGAGCTTCAGAGCTTAATTGACGGCACTGCATTATCTCTAAAACTGGATATAAATCCATTATTGAGGATGATTAAACAATATTTATTGTTATCAACTTTATTGTCCGGCCAGACAGAACAAATTATAGAGGTTAGACCTTTATTTATTGCGCACAAAGAGCTCTTCACATTATCGTAGATAGACTCGATCTCTGGTCATTTTTTTTTTAAACTTCACTTCTATGACCAATTGAACTATCAATGCGGCAAGTGTGATATATTATGTATACAGTTGGGAATTATGAAAAAAAAAATGATTTGTTTTAGTAGGCTCAGCTAACTTCATCCACTATATATTACTCCGTACGTAGCTTTGCCACTGCGTTTATGCCTATTTTAATAAGGAAAATAATCAATATATTTATTGAATTGGGTGCAAATTTGTTATTTGCCATTAATTTCAGCGTAATGTCCGTATTGCTAGAAAATGCTACTTGCTTCTGGAACTATCCTACAACAATACTTTTGCATATTGTAATAACCTATAGTTTAATTTGGGCTTATCATTTGGCAAGATTTGATGGATAGAATTTAATGAATTTTTTTTTTTTTAATTCATTGCATTAGGAGCATTTAGGTAGTTTTTCACGTAATTTTTATAGATTATATTTTGAGATTTTAGAGAATTATTACCATGATTATAGAATTTTTTCAATTGTTTTCGTTCTTCTTCTTCTTCTTCTTTTTTTTTTTTTTTTCCTGCGACAGTGGTGATGCTTGGCGGCTTCATGTTTATTCTTTTTGTTTTTTTTGTTTTTGTTTTTCTTTTTTTTTTTTTGTTTTTTGGATTCGGTTGGAATATGCTTTTGATTAGGTTTGTTGATGAATATGCTAATTTAGGATGTGGTGCATTGTAGGTCGCTAGGCTATGCATTATGGGCACTAAGTGTTGTGCAACATAGGACTATGGGTGTATTAGTTGAAGGGTGTTAGGTACCGCTATTGGTGTGAGGTTATGCATTTTATGATTTTTTTTTTTAATTTTTTGTCGACGGGAGATATTTGGCAGGGTGTGATGCATCATATAATGTGGACAATGTACATTGGTACGCTTAGTGTGGTGCATCGTAGGACGTTGGGATGAGCTACCGGCGGCGAACAGCGTACGCTCCAACGAATTGGACGACATGGGGAGGTTGAACGGTAGGGAGGAGTGTTTGCAGCGAAAGAGGAGAGAGGATGGATCGAGAGGCTGATACCAAATGAGAGAATTGAAATTCAATACAGTTACAACAAACAGATTACAAGAGTGTATATCTGAGTATACCTCTAATCACTCCTAACTAATAGAATACTAACCACAGACTTATTCTAACACCATACATTTACTAACTATATATTATACAAGAATAATAACAATAATAATAATACTCACACATCGGCTGTCCACCATGTGATCAATATTGTGGGGTTTAGCTATGATTTAGGGTTTACGGGTTTAAGAGTTCAGGATTTAGAGTTTTAGGGACTTAAGAGTTTAGGGTTTAGGGGTCTAAGGTATGCACTTACAAAATGTTGTACACTTTTATGCACTCTCATAGTAATAATTGTGCATTGCTAATTCTAAAGGTGTGCATTCTACGGGGTTGTGTGTGCATACTGCATTAGTATGACTGAGCTCTGAATTGGAGGTCAAAGATGAATGAGATTATATTTTGAAAATTTTGATTCATAATACATAATAGCGTTGAGGTGGTTTAGCAAGAATACAAATGTGTGAATTTTGTGTTGATTTGATAGTTAAAGGTTTATTATTCTGGACAAATATATTCATAGAGGCTTAATATGAATTATTTTCCATCCTAAAATAATACTTAATTTTCAGAAAATATGACTTAACAACCAATTGTAGATGGAGAAAAATGAACAACTTAGGTTAAACCACAAAGTATATATATATATATATATATATATATATATATATATATATATATATATATATATATATATATATATACATTTATGTAAAAATAGGACTTAAAATACAAACGTGTGGACATTTATAGATTGTTGGATTTTAAGTATCTAAGGTTGTGATTAGTTTTTATAATTTTGTGGACTGCCCTCCTCTGTGCACTGTCGTTCATGAATATGTGCACGCCGACCCAAATACTGTGGATTCACACATGCATACTACACCCGCATTTAGGTGTGTGCACGGTATATGTCCACATATTTGTATTTTAAGGGTGTTTGCATGTGAATGCAACCCTCTATATATATATATGGAGAGAGAAGTGCAAACCTAGTCTATAACTAATTAATTAAGGACAACTATATTGCTTAATTATATCAATTGATTGATGGGAAGCTAATATAAAACTAATATCAATAACATGTAAATCATGACAAACCTAGTCTAAAACTAAGGACAATCAAATTGCTTAACAATTTATGGGAAAGCTTATATAAAACTGAAATCAATTACTACATGACAAACCTGAATAGCAACTAAGCACAACCAAATTGCTTTAAGTGCTTAACTATATCAACTAATATCACAATCACATGTATATAAGCGTCCTCACCCTCTAGTCCTCTACATTCTAAAAATTACACCCCCAACACTTATATATAAATACAAATTGTTTTTTCTTTTTCTTAAGAGAGGAGTAGCTAGCCAGAATTAACGACACCAGTTTTTTTTTTTTTTTTTGGAAGAGAATGACACCAGTTTTGGTTGGATTGTTTGGGCCATGCTTTGTTTGTTGTTGTACACTAAATAAATAAATTTTTACCTTTTGTCTGGCTTTCTTGTTCCCAAACCTGTAAGTAACTACTATATATATCTTCACGACCGCATTGTAATTTTCTTGTTTTTCTTTCAATTCTTTAACTTGCATTGGTCTCTTATGAATGTTATGCAGTTGGCTGCAGACAGAGCATTCCAGGGTGGTGGATATGGTTCAACTTGGTGATGCAGAAACGATAATAGTAAGACCAGGGTTTTAAAGGGCCGAATAGAATTAATGATGTCATTTCTTTAAAAAGTTACTAGCTACTAGCTTATTTTAAAACGCTATAGCGTTTCAAAATAAACTCTTATTTTAAGTTACGAGCTTAATTTAAATCATTACGAAACAGAACTTATAACTTATTAGTAACTTAAAATAAGTTATAAGCTACTAAATAAGCTCTGCCAAACTCATTTCTTTTCTCTATTGCATTAACAAAAAAAATTTGGGTTAATTTGAGAAGACACTGAACACGTGTAAAATGAGTGATATGTACATCCAATTAGGGCTACCTCTAGCCTGAAAATGTACTGATGAGTGAAGTGATCGAACATTAAAATACATGGGAAGCAAAATCTTTCTATTGATCTATTCACTTAATAAGTCTTTCCTAGCTAATCTCAGGAGAAGCCATAGAGAAGAAAACCCTACCATCTATATATCTGATCTACTAATCTTCATCATCTCCTTTGGAAATTAAGGAACTTGACTGATGCAGCAAATACAGAGAAGAAGAGAACGCTGAATCCAACAAGAAATAGAACCGTCCACCCAATCATCCCTGGTCCAAAACCAAGGGTAACTCGCAAAAACTCTTTCACTGGCCCTTTAAACCCCGGCCCTACTATTATTGTTTCTACGTCGCCAAGTTGAGACGAAATGATTCCCCGTAGAGTCCATGAATATGGGCAGATATAGTAGAACCATACCCACCACCCTGGAATGCTCTGTTACCCAACCACATAACATTCATCAAGTTAAAGATTTGAAAGAAAAATAAGAAAATTACAATGCGGTCATGAAGATATATATAGTAGTTACATACAGGTTTGGGAACAAGAAAGCCAGACAAAAGATTCCACAATGAGTAGAATGCAGAGGAAAGGACCGCAGCTGTCTGCTGATTTGATGTCAGGCCAACTGCCATCATTCCGTAAAATGTGAAGTTGGTGAAAGTAAGGAACATGAACACAAGATAGAGGAAAAATTTCCCTGCACCATTCAATTCAAATCGCACAAGTTATTATATATAAGAAGCTAGCTAGCTTGACCTTTGAATTGAAAGAAAGCCCAAATTACATATACTTGATCCACTCATACCTGCGGTCCTTTCAAAATTGATCATGAAATATGTAATGATACCATATATTACTGACTGCACCAGAATATACGGGAGCTCAATAAGGCCCTGTCAGTACAGAAAAGAGAGGCCCTGTCATGCTCAACTTGGTATCGTAAAAATTAATACGGAGTATGTTATTCTAGAGCAGGATTATATTTTGCTAGTCACATACTTTCTCAAGTCATAAAACAGCTTTTACATAATAAAATCTTGAAACTTTTGACAGTTAAAATAATTAAAGGAGCTCCTGACCTGAGCTGCTGCATATGGGAAAGGTGAATACATTCCAGCTGCTTTTTCTCTGTAGAAAACTGTTCTCTCAATGGAAACTATTGGTTGTACAGATGAGGCACTGTTGACCCCAAGAAACAAGGCAGTTGAATACAGAGCTCCCATTACCACCATTAAGTCCTGAGTTGAGTCCCTGTGAAATTATCCGTAACTTAATTAACAACTTCATGGCTGAAACCAAGAGATACTTTGTCTACTAATCAACACAAGTAGTGAAAAGCGTCAAAATAATTGCAATTCAAACTGAAGTTGAAGACGGAGAGAGGCTTACCTTCTTGAACCAATATTCCAGAATACAGAGCCAACAATGAGTGCAGTTATTATGGTAAAAAGTATCCTCACTGCATTGTAGGATGGACTTCTCCAGTATATAATATTTTGCTTCCAGAGACAGATTCTAAATTGAGAAAATGTATCTTGAGAATAGGTTGACTTAAACTTCAAAGGTTCTGAGTTCTGTGGTGGAACACTGAGACGATTAATTGAAGCTTCTACTTCCCTGCATATATGTAAAAAAAGATACAAATAATAAATAAAATAAAATGCAAAGATGGGTGGTGAATGAATAGAAAAACTAGAAATAGTATTTTTGTGTAAAGAGTAAATCACCTGTACTGTTCAGAATTTCTATATAATTCTGCAAAGTCATGACCTATTCTTTCTTCAGCAGCAGCTGTAGTGATCTCAAGCATCCATGTTGCAGGATTGTAACCAGGAGAAATTGGGGAAATCCCAGGCATAGTCTAAACAAATTAAGGGAACAACAGTATTTAACCAACTAAATGCAAGATACAACTAAATAACTAATAGATCTTATATGTCCTTCCTTCTTCACGGCAGCAAGTGAACAAAAAAAGGAACTAATGGAAACAAGTGCATACCTGAAAGTAGTTTATCATAGTTTGTGACTGCGGTCCAAGCTTTCCCCCATATATCATTTGTCCACCTCGTTTCATAAGTAGCAGCTACACATTGAAACATTGTATAAAGCAATATCCGTAGTACATTTAATGAATGAAGAATGACTATATTGTCACTTTCACTTGAAATTTCAAGTTTACTCACCTCATCAAATGCTTCAAAAATTTCAATACTAGGCTGATGAATAGTGCATACAACAGTTCTTCCAGTGTCAACAGTATTACGAACAGTTCTCATGACAATGGCTGCTGCACGAGCATCAAGCCCAGATGTAGGTTCATCCATAAAAATTATGGAAGGATTTGCCACAAGTTCCACTGCAATTGTTAAACGTTTTCTTTGTTCTGTGGACAAGCCGCTACTACCTGGCAAACCTACTAAAGCATTCCTCAGATTGTCAAGCTCCACTAATTCCATTACTTCTTCAACAAACTCCTGAAGGGAAAGAAAATTAGGTTTTCATGTATAACAGAATCAGTAAAAGCTTTCTTTAAAGGTAGAAAAGAGTAGCAATGCCAAACCTTTGTTTGTTGTCGGGTCACTTCCTTGGGAAGCCTTAGATAAGAAGAAAACCAGAGAGATTCAAAAACTGTAACTTGAGGAGAATGTATATCATTTTGTTCGACATATCCTGAAACTCTCGCAAAAGTGCGTTGTTCTTTTGGGTGACCCGATATCCTAATGTCACCTTCTATATAGCCACCAGTTTTCCTACCAGCTAAAACATCCAGCAAAGTGGTTTTTCCTGCTCCACTTGATCCAACTAATGCTGTAAGAACACCTGGTGAGAAAACTCCACTAACATTGGACAGTAATTGCAATTTCTTTTCTGTTACACCTTGCGAAGTCATTTCCTAGTAAACAAAAGATATATTATGTTCCAATTGAAGAAAATACACAATTCAGAAGGAAAAATAATTGGTCTGAGGATACCTTTGGCATGTCAACAAAGTAGTTGACGTTAGAGAAAGTCATTGTTAATGGTTGAAATGGGAGGATCATCCCTTTCCTTCTACTTGCATCCCTGCTGATGACTGAATTTGAATTGTTGTGATTTCCTGCCAAATCATTTAAGACACATAGATAATCATTTAAACAAGCTACTTGACTATTGAATAATAAAAATGAGGATTTTCTTTACCATCATTTGCCGAGCTTTCTTCTATAAATGCCTGAGATGTTCTGATTGCTGCACAAGCAGAAAGAAGTCATACAAGAATGAATAAATATGGATAAAGGTGATTGAGAGACAATTACTTAGATGCCATACGAAGATTCCTAGCCTACTTACGATTGAGGAATGTCAATGCCAGAGTGACTATAATGTTGAAAAACAAAGCAAAGAGCAATAGAACACCAACTCCCAGCCAATACCAATTGTCACTGACGGGTAAGCTGTGTGAATGCAGAAGACTGTTTCCAAGAGTAACATTTCCAGAAGTTTTCCTCTGCAATAGCATCCACAATAAAATGAAAAAAGAAAAAAGAAAAAAAAAACCTATTAATAATTCCTTTTATATGAATTGTAGAGCCTGTCTTCTGACGGCATAGAGAACAAACCTCATTCCATCTTGTTGCAGTGAATTCGTTGACAGATATGGCCCGTTGCCCATAGGACAATGGTGATAGCCAAAAGGCCCAGACCCACCATGGCTTTATCATTTCTGAAAAGAATAGAAACAAGAGCAAAGATAGGATTCTTTTAGTTGCAACTCTGTCAATGATAGTAGTACGAATATAATTAGGGGAGAACTGCAACTTACCTTTCGGCATTATAAACCCTCCCATTAATAATATAACTAGCAGGGCAGCTGACCCAAATGTATTAGCAATGATTACATCTCGCGAAATAGCTGCCATCGAGCGAAAGAGACCCAGTGCCATTTGATGTATGGAAAAGAGGACCAACATATAACGGAAAAACCTGGAAATTTTAACAGGGCAGATAAACATGACAAAATAAGCACCTACATCAACACAATGAAGGTAAAGAAACAGCAGATGCATACCTTCCAACAGAAGGTGCAAATCCTACAGAATAGTAGACAACACAAGACCATATAATTGCTTCAATTGCTGAGTAAGGTATACGCGTAACCCAACTAGAGATGGACCATGCCCACGCAGGATAAAAGAGGTTATCTCTTTGCTTGTAGAAGACTGGTAGTCGGAAAATTGTAATAGGCAGCTCCGAAAATCCATTAAACATCATATGCACCAGGCCGTAAAACAGACAAGAAAGATACAAGTTCGCCTGAACCAGATCTGTAGGATGTAACCGGGTTCTTAGAAACATTGTACATGTCACAAATCCAACAAATGCAACCTGTACATAGTACAAAACTATGAGATTCATAATTCAAGGAATATTGATGTCGAGATCTACACAAAAAATGTTATCAATGAAGCTGTATATATGAAGTTCAACATAAAGGTAAAGCATACCTGACAAGTTCTAAAAATATAAAGAAAACTGTGCCTTTTAATTAGAAGCAGTTCTCTGGTAAAGCATGCTTTAAAGAGCTCTAAGTTGGACACTGCATACTTTTTAGTACACAGAGCTGAAGGATGGGTGTTGGTTCTTTCATAAGGAACAGAAAGAGAGGACTCCAAGGCCTGACCATATCTGGAAGTTCTAAATGCTTCAGCAATTTCTGAAACTGGAATAAACGCATAGGGCTTTGACTGATCACCCCAGTATTGCGCCTGATCCTTCCTTGAAGTCACCTGCAAAAAGATCAAGGTTTTTTCTACATCTAAGAGTCCAAGACAAATAAGCACAAAGACCCAGAGGTAATAATAACAATAATAATAGACAGATAAGTACCTCCTGAAGAAAATCTGCAACTCCCTTACGAGGTGGTAGTTTAAAACCTAATGACTCAAAGAACTCAACAACATTAACTCCTGGACCGTGATACACTACATAACCTTCTGAAAGCAAAATAAGATCATCAAACAGATCAAAAGTCTCTGGGGCTGGCTGAAGAAGAGCCATTAAGACTGTTCCCTCCATTAGATGAACAAAATTCCTTACGCACTTCACAATTTGGTAAGTAGTGGAGCTATCAAGTCCAGTAGATATTTCATCCATGAACAGAGTCTTCCTAGGCCCAACAATCATTTCTCCTGCATTGACAGGTCCAAATTATCATTCTACACCACAAAGAATCAGTGCAAAGTTAATTATGGCGTGGCGTGGCCTAACTATCCCTTTGCACACTCTTTTCATAGAAGAGAATCTACTTTTAGTTAGTATCAGTTGTTCAATTGCCACCTACCAGCCATTTGATGGTGAATATAACCTATGCCAATACTGAATTTTAAGCTATCTCACAACTGTGGGACAGTGGAAGCAATGCTCCCTCATGGAGAGAAAGAGAAATAAAGAACCAGAGAAAAAGAGGAAAACCTGTTGTAACTCTCTTTCTTTGTCCACCTGAAACACCCCTAAGCATGTCGTTACCAACCATTATGTCTGAACATATATCGAGACCAAGGACTTTCAAGATATATTCTGTAGTCACATTATGTTTTCTACTGCCAACAGATGATGCCTGTATTCTTTTAGAAGTTATTAAAAAGCATAATGCATAAGAAAATAAATTACAAAGTTAAAGATCAAAAGATGAAACCTTCATAAATGCATCAATCTGAGGATTTGGGTGTATATTTCTTTCCTTCTCTAGATGTGTTAGATCTTTCATATATCCTGCATGGAAAATCAAAGCAGAATCAAGAATGGCTACAAATTTCTGAGATATCCATAACTACCGATCAAGAAATATTTGAAACAATTTGAGGTCATCATGCTCTAAGCTAGACAAAATCAGATATTAAGGTGATCCAATTCCATTGAGTGTGTCCTAAACCCCCTAATTAATATCTGTTTTTAATTCAGCATCCAGATAGGATAAAATGTACCATCAAGAATATCAAGCAGCTAATAGAAAAAGAAATATTGTGAATATGATATGAGCACTTCAAAATTTCGGCATGACTAAACAATTGTAGTTATATCACTTAGTGAAAAATAAATTACAAAGGGAAGTCGATACAAACCTCCTAAACGCTGGTCTGCACCCTGGCATCTAGCAGCAAAGTCTAGAGTTTCTCGTACAGTTAGTTCAGCAATGTGATTATCTGTCTGACTTATGTAAGCAGAGGTTCTTTGCACACAAAAGCTATCAAGCCCCTGGCCATTGTATGTAATAGTCCCACTTTTCTGAAACCAAGGTGAAGGACAATTTACTCAAATTTCTTTACCAAAAAATTTGAACGATCCAAATAAGAAGTTTACGGGTACAATGATCCTAGTCTAAGTAATTAAATATAGAAAATTATCTTTCTATCTATCAATCAACAATGAATATATACATGCATACAATTAGATGATTAGTCCATAAAAGGATATCTAACACTCATAACTTCAAATTTTCTTCCCCTTTCCGCTGGGACTGGTACCAGCAAAATTTCAGTAAGATAGGAAATATCACGAGTCCCAAAGAAAGATTATAAAACTGCCCTCTAAGCTAACCTTTAAGCCACTTTCAAGTTTGCCAGCTAGAGCCCGAAGTAATGTTGTCTTCCCAGAACCTGGAGGACCCAGAAGCAGAGTCATCCTAGCAAAATAATTGAACAACCATAAAGAGAATTCAAGTTTTGTAGCAACTGCGAGATGAATAAGAACAGACTAAGTACTAGTTTCTGTCTTTAAAATAGTTGGATCTTGGATTACCATAAGCAAGCAGTTTTTCATAGGCGATGTTGATTCGTGTGGTATTTTATCTATATACACAAGTGCCTTTTTTTTTTTTTTTTTTTTTTTTTTATAATTTTTATTTTATATCAGATATACCACTTAGGGGGCGTTTGGTTCGGGTAATCTAGGATAACCAAGGTTATATTTGGCTAGTTATACAAGATTTCTTAGTTTGATTGAAGTTATCCAACTTTCCCATGGAATGTTATTTACCCTCCACATAAGCTTTTTTCATAATTTTGAGGGAATGTGATAACCTTCATCTCCTTAGGTAATATAAGATTCCCTTGCTATTTTACAAAATTTGCCCTTCACTTTGCAAGATGATTTGTAATATGAGGGCATTAAGGTAAAATAACCACTATAACATTCCCAACAATTCAACAACCAAACAGGTTTATATTATATATCTCAGTTTTTACCAAACACAGGAATGTAACATTCCCAGTAATCTAACATTCCCAGCAATCTAACATTCCCTAAGGTAATCTAACATTCCGTGAACCAAACGCCCCCTTAATGCATTAGTAATGAATAACATGTTACCGACATGTTCACATATGTTGGTTACACAAGGTTGCAGTACTCTCAAGTTATATGCAACTGCATTATGCATCTTAGAAAAGTAAAAAAGTAGCATGGATTGTGAATATATTACATACCAAAATTTACTTCGAAGTACATAAATACATAATAATTAAGAGAAATCTTTTAAGCAGATTTAAAGCTCTAATTCGTATTCCATTTATGGTAACTCTAAAGAAAATAAAATAAATCTTTTCATTAATTTCAGAATATTCACAGCAATGCATAGAATACACTCTATATAGTACATCTCTAAATTAAAGCATCAATTAAATGTTTTTTTTTTTTAAAAAGCATCAATTAAATATAAATACGGTAATAGAATGATCAATTATTCTCCTAATTTAAACACAAATGCTAACTAATATTCTAATTATCAATATAAGATAATATGCATTTTTCTTTATTCAAGATGAACGAGAACCAAGTATCAGAATACCAAAGAGGTTATGATCGACATTGAATGCTTAGTACAGTTAATCATCTACAGCATAGTGTCTCATTCTTATAGAATGACATGGCTTTAATCATGCATAAAACGAAGTAGATACTTTCTTCCAAAAAAAAAAAAAAAAAAAAAAAACGAAATAGCTACCAGTAAATTGTCAGCTATATGATTTAACTTTTCTTCCACTAAACATGTAAGAAATCACTAAATGAGCAACGGGTAGCTTACCTTCCTGGTTTGATAGAACCACTTATGTTGTTCAAGATGGTTAGATTGTGTCTCTTTGGGCGGTAGACTCTCAATCCAGTAAATATACTCTGTGTTTGATAGAAACAAAGGCAACATAATAACCTCATTTTAACAAAGAGAATAGCTCATATAATACACAATATAATAATGAAGACATAACACTAAAAAACACATCTATCATTTACGTACCTCGAATGTGTTACGAACAGAATTAGTTAAAGTTGGCAAAGCTCTTGAACCAACTTTTACATCTGCTTTTATTGTCACATTTTGATATCGAACTTCAACTTTTGGCACGTCCAACCCCACTCTTTGTTTGGAAATGCAATTCAAAGCAGTCTTTCATTAGTTAATTGCTTAGCTTGAACTGAAATTACAAACTTCAACGTGCAATATAATGTAATGCAGGTTTTGAAAAATTAAACTCTGAATTGTTCAAAAGTGTAGTATCAAAGGATGCAGATACAAGTCAAGCACAGGAGCATGCAAAAAGATAATCTGCTTAATTAGTTTGAGGATATGAAGAATCATATTCCAATTCAATGTATTTAAGTCCAATAACCATATCAATAATTAGGCTGGCTCGTTATCCATCTTAGCAGAATAGTAAACTAGTTTTGTTATATTTCCATATATCAAAGCATGCTTAATTAATCTCGAAACAGTACATGAACACAAACGCCATCAGCAAGCAAACTTCCGTCGTAAAGCGCGGTAGTTTCACGTATTCACATATATGTATAGAGAGAGAGAGAGAGAAAAGTAAAGCTACCGGTCGAGGCGTTCTTTAATGGCGGTGAGGAGCTTGTAATTATCCTGTTCGGAAGTGGCCAAGGCTTGCTTGACGACTAGTTCGCGGGTGACGCGATTGAGCTTCCGTACATCAATGGCCTCAGTCTTCTCCGTGGCGCCGCCGCCAGCGTCGTGGTCGTTGGCGGTTATCCGATGAGAAGACGGGCGCTTCAACAGCGCGAAGTTCTGCCGCTTCCGAGACGGCAACCTCTCCAACGCCGCCCACATCAGCTCCTCCTCATCCTGTGCAACCGACTCCGCGTTGGACTGCCTCGGGAAGTTATCCACCTGCGCCTCCACATCCAACGCGAAATACTCACTCCCATTCGACGCCGCCATTATTCTCTCTCTCCGATTTTGGGTATAGTATAGGTTTTTGTGTGTATAAATCTGAAAGATATTTTGAGCTCGATGAGATTTGCAGGGAGAAAATATGGCTACGTACCAGCTCAGCGATATTTAAGCCGGGGAATTTAACAACTTTTTGAAAAAATGAAATCACGGAAATGTCCTTAAGACTTGTTACGTCAGCAATGAGGTGTAATGGGGTGAAATGGTGAATGCGGATATTTACCGCTGATTTGTTTTGCCCTCTTCTCACGGAAGTTTAACCACGCCACACATATCGTCCAAATGATCACAACTAGAGTGTAAACAAATCAAATAAATAAAATTCTATTCGTTTCGAATAGAAATTAGGGTGTATTCGAGTATTCGAATATATTTGAATATATATATGCTATTTAAATTTAAATATAAATTTTAATTACATTTTATCTGGGAGAATTTTGTAAAAATATTAAGTTAGACATTTCGAATTCGAATATTTGAGTTGAATTGAATATATTCGAATAGCCCGCATGGGTAGCTCAACTGGTCATAGAGGTGAAACTTTGGAATAATGGCCAGGGATCAAGTCTCACCAGTGGCAGTGTGGGGGGCTTCTTGTGCGCAGTGAGCACCTACATCCTCCCAAATACTCTTGCCTTTTGGAATAAACTGGTCGAATCGAATACGAATCAAATTTGAAACGGTGATTTACATCCCTCCCAAATACTCTTGCCTTTTGGAATAAACTGGTCGAATCGAATACGAATCAAATTTGAAATTTGAATCTTAAACGAATACGAATACCAATATTTGAATATATAGTCAAATTCGAACCGAATAGTGAAATATTTGACTCGATTCGATTCGTTTATTCACAACAACAATCTTTTAGTAACTTTTTTTTTTCTTTCGTTCTTTCATTTTTAAGTTAACTCAGATTTGCCAAGCATCTTGTGCTCAGATGACACATACGTGACTCCCTTTGAGGGAAGGTCACAGGATTGAACCCCTATAT